AGCAGTTATCGGTCCAAAGAGTGATGTGCCTTTACTTGACTACCTGGAATTGTATTGTCCAGTCCATTTCAAAATTCACGAGGAAATTTCATTTGCACTTCGACCCTTTCGATTCGTCCCACATCATACATTGTACAGAAGAATCACTGCTTCTACAAAAGCTTCCTTTTGTAGAAACTAATGCAATTGTGAAAGCAAACATTTTTACAAATCACCAGATAATACTTTGTGTTTTGGTGACTCTTTAGCTATTAAAAAGTCCATTTGTTGTAAGTTATACCGAGTTTTAAATTCAATTAGGTGAGTATCATGATTAGCCTGTTCCACTGGTTAGTTCATCTGCAGTAAGATTATTTTTCAATTGAGCTGTGAATGTACTGCATGTATCGCAAGTGTCTATTTCGGGTTTCCAAGTTTTCAAACGAAAACTTGAAAATATTTATTAAAATATCTGCGTCGAATTACTTTTTACTCTGAGCTTTGGATCTACATGTATTTCATTGCATTCATCAAAGTACAGTTGATACAACTTTTCTATCGTAAGTTTCTATGCCAAGATAATCTCTCTTACTCCTTTCTCTGGAATAATGAATCTCGCACTTTGGGAATGATTTAATATGTTGATGTATACTATTTATGATTTCGGTGGGAGTTTTATTCTTAGAGTGTGTCTACCTCTTTGATCAGCTTTTATTAAACCTCCTGGCCTCAAATTTTTTTTTCAACATATTTACTACTACTAAATTAGATATACAAAATGTGTTTGAAAAAATAACCTTGCACACCCTCAATCGCTGATTGTTGACTGTAAAATGGTAGTGTAGTGTATTATTTTTAGATTTGGTAGAATTTAGGTCTTTTTTTGTTAATCGAAGAGTAGGTTGGATGTCGACACATGAGAAGATAAATTGCTTTTTAACATCTGAAACGTTTGTCTCAGTCCAGTATGAGTTGAAAATTTTTTGTCTTTTCGTATTCTGGGGCAATCTTTTAGAGCATTTCATGTGACACAATGCAAGGAAGCTTTAACATTTTTGCAGGCATTATTTTTGCCTTTTTTACTGAGATACTCTTTCCCACCAGATATTTTTGATTTGCGAACATTACAGACCCAATTTTGTTCATTTACTACACGTTTTTTCCCTTTTTGTTTGCACTTAGTTACATTTTGTACCTTTCTTTTAACACTTTATTTATTTAACACATTATTATGGTCATTTAAAAAAAATAGACGAAATTCTTTACTAGTAACAAGAACATTACTAACTGATACTTCTATTTTAACGGTAGATAGAAAAAATGTATGTACAGTTTGAAATTTTGAGCCCTTTACAAAATAATATACATTACTAAATATTTGAGTTTAGAAAAAACAAAATCAGTGTTAAAAAACAATAGCTTACCTGTAAGTGCTGTTTTATTTTGGAATATTACATGACAGTAATTGTAATAATATTTTTCCACGAGAGTTAGGATCCATTTTTACAATTATTAAACAACGAACTTATTGTACAACTTTTATCAACCTAACACAATTGCGATCTAAATAAAAAGGTTGCAATGATTTTAGTTCATGACAATTCCGCCAGGTACAAAGGTACAGAACACTATGTCCGGATGGTAAATGACAATGCACACATTTACTAGAGGTAAACAACACCAAGTCCACATGGTGTTGTTTACCTCTGACTGGAAGTGGACTTGGTGTTTATTAAAAAGTCGGTAACTTGCCGTAAATTGTCTCTGGACATAGTATGGTTTACCTATGTGTAGAGCCAGAAAAGTTATATTCAAAAGTGCAATAATCTAAATTTCGATTAAAAATGGACATAGTGTCCTTTACCTCCGAGGTACGCATATATATATATATATATATATATATATATATATATATATATATATATATATATATATATATATATCTGCTATCGCTTTGTTGTATTAAATGGCCAAATATATGGACTAGCTTTAGGAGACATTCGTTTTTCTTTCCGAGTGGTATGTATGAATTTGTATCCGCCCAAGTGTCTGATGAGGCTGGGATAGGCCGAAATGAGTGATAACATTTTATTGATACCGATTCGAACACAGGAAGTTTCACGAATTTGTCCTCCTAGGCCATATGTTTGGCCATTTAATACAACAAAGCGATAGCAGCTTTTGCTAAAAGATTTATTCTTATTCTTCCGTGTATGAATTGATATATTTAGAGTTTTATAACGCCTTATTTCTTCATAACCTTACTTCGTCAGCGACTCAGCATATTCATCTCTGCATATTCATCACCTGGAGTGCACAAGAACGAAATACTATAAAATCGTTTTTTATCCTTTTAAGATATTTGAAAATTATATAGTTTACATTACAGCAAAAGCGTGCTATTGCTTTGATGAATTGGCTAGCGGAATATATATGGAGCAAGAGTACAATTCGTCGAATTGTGCTCTTTAACATGAACGTTCACTACGGGATAGAAATTGATGCTAATGAAGTAATGCATATATTTAAAAGAAAAACAGAAGACTAATTCTGTAATGCATTAATTCAGGTAATATAATAACAGAACGTTATTTTTTTATTTAGCCTATACTGTCCCACTGCTCGATAAAGGTCTCTCCAATTCCTTTCAGAAGCCTTTTTCTTTATATATTTTTTATATTTTATTTATGAATCTTTCCTCATGAATATAAGGGTTATTTTATACACTTTTACACGTTTTATGTTCTTAAACTCTTCGATTCTAAAATCTGGCTACGCTTGTGCTATAAACTATATCCAATATGTGACAACTCCAGTATTTAAATATCTAGAAGAAAGACAAACGTAATGAAGTATAAAAGGTAAATACTCCGTGGCAACAAAAATAATAACTGACGGTCATCCACTATTACAAGTGGATCATTTCAATTATACATGGTGTAATATCAATTTGGAGAAAGATAGACAATGATAGTTCGACGAAAAAGCAACAGTATAGCAGCAGTTTCGAAAATGC